ACATCTGGAGAGCGGAACATTTGATATGTTAAAAAGAATAATATCTTTGCTTTCCAACACCACCAGGTGCCTGTGACTGGGTAGGGTGACCTACCCATTGTCCCTCAGAGCACTTTGTTTCCATGATTCCACCAAATCAATAACAGCAACAATGGCCACTAAACTGGCAGCCCAACTCTTGAGCTCATATAGCAGTGAGATTTTGATCTTTAGAGCTGCAATGTACTCAGGACACTTCAATTTGATAATGTTAACAGCTGCCTACCTACTCCGCTTCACTTGAACACTTTGCCTTCATCCGTAATTTTTTCAATGCCTGTCAAAATGGTCAGCATGGAACCAGTGGGAAAACCATTTCCCAAGGTCTCCAAAAATAAAAATCTAGCACAAACCAGCGTGAATTTACAAAACCAACAGGCTTAAAATTTAGACTCTGGGAAAAGAGACTAGGAACATCAGTTTCTTCAGCCAAGATATACAGGGTTTTCTTCCAGTCCCACTGTTTTCAAATCCCCTTATATAGCACAGGCAGGATTTAAGATATGCCTTCATTACTGGACAGGAAGGTACTGAAATGAGTAACTGAAATAAAGGAACATTGATCTAACCAGGCAATGTTGCAGCTAGTGAGCTGATGTTGGATAAAATCCTAAAGTTATATTTGCTCTTCAGTGTTCATCCGTAATTCCTATTAGCATAAATATGCTACTAAATCTCCCACAGTAAGCAGCTGTGGTAAATGACTTTTGTAGGCTTAAAAGCCAACAGCAATAAAGCATTATTTTGTTTTCCACTAAAAAAAAATAACAACAGAAGTTTTTATGAGACATGCATACACATTTGGTTCCAGTGGTGTACTCGTTGTAAGCACTCAAAGTTATTTTCTGTCTGTTGTCACTGCAAATCAACTACATACTATTGCCTTCCTATTGTGATTCTTACCGCCTCCAAGTTACACAATTTTTCCATGTACAGCCCTGGGTCTGCACAAAAGTTTTGGGTCCACCTTTATGCCATTTCTCCTTGAAGACTTAAGTTTACCATTAAGTTAGGAACACAGGAAAAATTACCCAAACCACTGAATCAAGTCCTCTACAAGTCCAGAAAAAAAGACAGTAGGTATTTCAACAAGCTACAGGTTATCTGCTCTATATATCATCAGTCAGGGTGGGGGGACAATGATGGGGATAACATAAAAAACCCCTAAAAAAGTAAAAAAAAATTTTTTTAAGTGGAAAAGCCACAACTACAGCATGTAATGAGAAGTGAGCAAGAGAGGTAAGGCACTGCCAGTTTCTGAAGTCTGTACAATAGCTGGCAGCATATTAAATATTTATGGTCCAAAGAAACAGGGAAACTGATACAGATAAAATTACCGTAAAACCAAACAGGTAGTGCAGACTTGCTAAGTGTGAGATGTGCTACTAGGGATTACAGAAGGTGTCAATGAAGTTACACACAGGCATAGACACAGTAGTAAAGGGAACACACTTCAAAATAACATATCAAAAACAAAACTCTAGTGTCTTTGTATCAGCCTGTTTTTATACATAACCGTTCCAAGCACCCTTTACAGAATTTAGTCAAACCTTGAATTACTTTATTTTTTTTAGTAGGAAAGCAACATGAATTGAGGATTCTAACAAACCATTTCATACTGCATTTCACAACATCTTATGGGAAACATCAATTAAAAATGGCTTGCACTGCAAAGAGATATGGGTTGGAGTTTGGGTTAAAAGATCATAAATTGGAGATAATGGTGTATCCACATTATGTAACCTGGCCTTTTGTCCATCTTTATTTATTACATTTATTTACAATCACCAGAGGGACCTCAGATGAAAGCATCACTGCATCGGAGAAATGTCTGTCAAAAGCTCTGAGGAAAACTTGGGTACAGTTTGTGAACTGGTATCAAGTTAATACAATGCTGACTTTGGCAATGGAGAAAAATCCCAAGGAGACGGAGCTACCATAGCCTTTTAGAAGCCACCCATAAGAAAGAAAAGCAGAGTTAAACCACCAACCCTAAAACTTGTCATAGAGGTACAAAGAGATGCAGCCACACCTGTAAGGGTGTCTACCCATCAGAGGTGTGGAAGGGCATGGGCTGGCAGCAGCAACCCAGAGCAGAGAAGCCAGCCTTTCTGGTATTTCCCCATAAACCAGCCAAGTCCTCACGGGATCCCAAGACTCAAGCCTCTCATAGTAAGCCTGTGTGTCCACTGAACTGTGGAGTCAAGGCCACAGCAGTATTAGCTCTAAGTTTTACTTTGCACAACACTCACGCAGAGATACAGTCCTTCTCCCTCATTATTTGGCTGACTGCACTATGGAGGCAGAGTTGGATGCAGACATAATTTAATAAGTTTGTGATATGACTAGAGATGTTTGGCACTCTCTGAATAACCAGTTTCAGTAACTTACCGAGCTTGATTACCTTGGAGGTTCTGACAGGAAAAATAATGTTTTCCTAAAGGTTGAAACAAATTCTACTAAAAACAAGAGCAACCCAGGACCAAAGTCAAGATACCATTTCTATATTGCTATTGATTAAGCTCACAGGAGGACTTCTGCTCCACTGAAATGTAATACCTACCCCTTGGTACCTCTCCTTTATACACTTTGGCCCTTACATCCCATGAGCCCTTTACTCTCACTCTGAAGAGCCAAGTGGTCCAGACTGCTTCTCAGCCATCCATTGAAAACTTCCCTCTCCTCCTCCGTCAACTGATTTCCAAAGTGGAGCCAAAATAATCACACCACGAGCATACTTGTATGGTGCACAACCACCTGAAATACGTGGGTTTCGCTTCATTTCCAAGCTACATTTGTCATTCACAGTGCTTAACTGCATGCGCATGACAAAATGTTATGGCAATAAAAAAGGGATTTTCAACAACGTTGTTGAAAAATAAGTTAAAACAGAAATTTAAGAAGAGTTTAGTAAATCCTGAAACAGGAAAAAGCTGAATGTGTTATTTCAGCATCATGGCTTTTCTTCAGCTCTTGATCCTGCCTCAGTTTTGAAAGCAGATCCCTCCCTCCAACTTCTTCATGCTCTTTAAATCAAGGGCCCCACTGGACTAATGTAATCCATATGCTTACTATTGCTTACATGCTATTCGTAAGGGTCAGCTCAATTGAATTATAACCCCATCACACATACTTCCCTACTGTCTGTTACCTTTACCACAGAAAGGCACACTTGTAGAGAAAATAAACAGAATGTGACAAGCGTGAAGTTTATTATGTTTTCAAGAACTGGTTTTATGTACATTTTTGCTAGACATCAGAACAAGAATATTTTTGAGATACTTGATTAAATATCTCTAAAAATCATCAGAAATAAGTAATTGTAAGTGATGCATGTAAGCAAAGCATCAGCTCTATATTCATTACTGAGTAGACAGAAGACTTTTTTTTTTCTTTCAGAAAACAGACTTTTGTTTTGGAGAGGATTGGATCAAGAATTTTACATAAGAATCTTCTTGTGTTTATCATTTTAGAAAGGTCCTATATTCTGCATGGCCCAGTGTGGGAGGAGCAGTTGGTTCAGCATTTGTGATGCGGTTAGAAAGCTGCTGGACATGCATAAATAAACTATCATCTCTCCTCACCTCACTGCTAAGGAAACACAAATCTATCACAGGACAAGAAAATGAACAATAAGCAGAACCTTGCTTGAAAGCAATGTTTTTTTTCCCTAAGAACAGCATTTATTATATTAACTGCTTTTCCTGAAGGCAGCAAGAAGGCCTGCAGTGCACGGAGCCATGCTGCTGCAAGCCCAAGCAGCGGCAGGAGGGCTGGTGCGGGATGCAGCAGCAGGTGCTGCAGGCACAAGGCAGGGAGGCAGGGAGCCGTGCTGCAGCATCGGAGGAAGCCCGAGGGAAACACTGCTCTCCAGGGAGCGTTAAGAGAAAGCAGGAACGTGATGGGTGCACTATGGAGCATGTGGTGTTAGTGGTATGGCTAATGCCATAGGGACTCGGAGGAAGCACGCAAGCTCAAACCAGACCTCAAGGTAGAAACTAGCTGCACTCGGGTGCTAAAAAGGGCTGGGGAGAGGAAGAGAGCAACCAGCTGCTGGTAGAGCTGGGGTGGCAACAAGCCTTATATAATTTCTATCGTAAGCACTGTGCAGCAGGAGGTGTTCAACAGCAGACTCTTAAGAGTAGACCAAAACTCAGGTGAGGACTGTTTCTGGCCCAAGGAAGGTGTCTCACCAAGATTTTATGTGTTAGCTGTTACCTCCCCTATGGACTTGTTTTCTGTTATACACTTCACCTACAGGACTAACATATGAAGCATACTGCTTGTCTAAGACTTAACAGAGACAACAACATAAAAAGAACAAGATGATGATCCTCCACCATTTCCTAAAAGATTAAGAAGTATCTGGATGCAGATATACACTAGATGAAGATATACACAATTTAGTCAATTTGCATTGTGCTCTGGTTCCGTGATGCTTTATAAACAAACAAACAAAAACCCATCCAAAAAGCAAAGCAAAAGCTCACCACTAATGGTTTGAAACTTATTAACATAACTGACACGGCATTCGCTTCCTTTCAGCATTATTTTTTAAACCCATGGGTGAAATACACTCTTACATGCTGTGGCTTCCTCAGCAGATGCCCTCTGAGCATCTGAAGCTTGAGAAGCAAATAGCAGGTAACAAGCCATACCTTTCAGGCATGAAACTCTTATTAGTAGACTACCCTTACTAGCCTTTAATTTAGTTTTTTCTAGTGGGTGCATGTCAGCTCCACTACAAAGAGATTTAATTAGTCTGTAATTTGACATTGCAACACACCAGCTAGACAGACCAATGAAGAAGGACATGTATGGAACTGCAGAGCAAAGGGCAGATTTGCACTAACTGGGAAGCAAGAACAACTGCCGTGTCCAAGCCAACTTGTGCCAACCACTGCAACAGTAACATAAATAAGCAAATAATACACAGAAAAGTGCTAAACCTTTGTCCATACCTGAGATACAGAAGGTCGAGGGGGCAGTGCAGGTGGTGGTGGGGGCAGCCAGCCAGACCTCACAGCTGAACAGTGAGAAAAGAAGAAGGGAAAAAAACAAACCAAAACAAAACCACATTAATTTAATTCCAAATAAAACCATAATTAATTTACGTGATTATTTATAGTGAAGAGGCAGTATTCAACATTTTAATAACAGAAACCAAACTTTATCTTTATTGAGCAAAACCCTGTTTGAAATAAGCTCTTGAGTAGTGAATGAGTAGTGATTTAATTGCTGTAAAAACCCACAATATTATGATAAAAAGCAGAGATGGAAGCCCGTCAGCCACAAGAGCTGTAGCTAAAGCAATCCAATTCTAGTTAAAGAACCCAGAAACAGGGTCTACTTGTCCTTGGGACTTTGCTCTTTGTCATTAACGTTATTGCCTTTTTAAAAAGTGATGCTTTAGCATCCAGTGTAGACACTAGCATTCACTCCAGATAAAACATGCTATATGATGGAGTGCAGCCTTAAAAAGAAAACATCTGCCTTGGAGTTATTAGGACAAAAGCCTAAATGAATCAAAAAGAAATTAATTTCATTTGCTTAATGTTTTGTATTTGCATGTTATTACTCATTGGAGGTATTTCTGAGGGAGGAAGAGAAATAAGAGCAGGAAGACAAACCCTAATGGTCACTTCAGGCGCCTTTAACACAACGCAATGTCAGCTTTTAGTTTGAGCCAGCACAAAGGAAGGGTAACAATCACGTACATCCAGCCACTGTATTTCTCAGTTTCCTTAAAATACCTAAAACCTATTATGGGACAACCACAGGACAGATGATGGCTTCCAAAGGCAGCTGCACAGAGGAGGACTAGGTTAGCAAAGAGACATCAACCCCAACTGGTGGGAGTCCTTATGTGGGTTACCCTCCCGAAGCTCCTGTCCCACTGAGTGCTCAGCACTTGTACTGGCAGAGATACCAGACAGTCCATCTTACACTGGTGGTTACTGTATATTTAGAAAAAAAAAACCAAACCAATATTAAACTTAGAAATGCCTTTTACCACAACAATGGTACATTATTATACATTTATAATTTATACACTTCTTATTTCCGTGCATATTTTAAAAAGCCATAAAGACCATTACAAGCCTTTACAGCTTAGCCATTCATTAGTTTATACACCAAGTCTAAACATGTCTACATGGTTGAAAATTTGAAGACAAAATATATTAACCATTAAGGACAGCAGTGACATGAGAGTAAAAGTGTATGGGTGAAAACATTGAGAATAGTCATATTGGCTACAGACGGTTCCAAAGAGCCTGATAATACCTTGGGATTTTTTACATCTTCTGTATCATCATCTCTTGCATCAAAACAAAGCCTAATATCGCTGCACACAATGCCAAGGAGAGAGGTAGAACAATGAGAACCCAACCTAAGTTAAGCAAGGGAGCCAGTAACACATCTACAGATGTAAGAGAGGTTTGAAAAAACATGGTCATTAGGATCCTTTCTCTTGCATTTAATTAGTTCTGTTTATAAGGCCACTGCAATAGCACCATGAGGTTCTCACTACATTGTCCATCTCTTCCACACAACTAACCTTTAGAAAGGAACAGTAGAGTAAGAAACCTTCTTTTCCTTTAGCCTGAACTTCAGGTTATTAGTTTATCTGAGCACTGTCAGTGGCTTTGGAAATTACAGCTAATCACAGTATTTGAAAACACCATCCAGCTCAAACACCAGCACTCTGCAGGTCCATCAGCTGCATGCTGTAATAGCAGACAAGTACATATGGTCAACACTTATCTTCAGGAAACCTTGTGGGAGCTGTGCTGCAATGCTCCATGGAAAATACCTGCATGCCCTTACCTGCCTGCCACCACCAGTGATTCTCACTGCGAGAGTATCACCTCTGCTTTCCGAACAGCTCTAATGTCACAGGGAACCAGGAATCACACACAAGCCCCTGGCAGCCCAAACATGATACTATGGAGTGCAGTGCTGCCTCCCTGGGAAGGGGCACGCGGGGCTGGGGTCACCGGTGCTGCAGGCAGGCACAGGCCAAAGTGGCTCCCTCGGCCCTTCCAAATGTATGTAGCCCCCTCCAGGGCTCACCATTTTGGTATGTGCGGGCTTACGCTCTGGCAGACCCTCAAAAGCTTTACTGCAAGAGCTGCATCCACCAGGAACTGGCCTCAACTTCAGCTCTACAGGATACAGCACTTACTGTCCTCACTCCCTGATTCTTCAAACCCAGCAATAGACCTAGGAAAGCGGTAGCATAGTCTTTATGCAGAAAGGCGCTGGGCTTGCTGGAAAAGCCTCTCCTGAAGTGACTGCACACACTGTGACCCCACAAGTCTCCTGGGACTTAGCCCACAAAAATCCAAAGGAAAAAGTAATTTTTCTGTAAGATGGCCAAATTAAAAACAAAACAAAACAAAACACTAACCAACCCCCAAAAAACTGCTTCCTCAGCTTTCAAAATACAACATATATGAATTCAGCATTAAAGAAGTTAGATGCTTACACCATGTGCATTTGACCCAGTTTCCTCTTTTTAATCCTGCAAATTCTAACTTAAGCTACTCATGAAATATTAATAAAATTCAAAAAAAATGCAGAACATCTTTGGCCTGTTGCTAGAAGGAAATCATGCTTATGTAAGCAAAATTGCTAGACAAAAGTTAGTTGACTTTTGAGGATTCATATCAATGTATTAAAAAAACTTCATTTTTTCTTCTCCACAGGGCAATGAAAAATGATTTAACGACAGATGCTGCATGCTTCAGCTTTCTCTAGTGTCACTGCCCTCAAAGAGGGCAATATTAAGAGATGCTCAGAGGTTTTTATGTGTATCAGCAAGTGACTTGTAATACTAGGCTATTCTGGAATAGCTGCACCTGCCTTCCTGGGAGACCACCCCGCACAGATCGGCTCTTGCTGTTGGAGATGGCATCGCTACATTAGCTCTGAAAGCAAACCTAAATCCAGGGTCTGTTTCCAGAATATAAGGTGGTTTGTTTCCAAAATGAAAGCAAGTACCCTGGGACTGAACAGCAAACAGACAAACATCATATTTCCACGCATGCACCCCAGAGCTTGGATAAGCTGCATGGTATTGCTCTTTGAAAACAAGTCTTCACACTCTGCATAAAAGCAGAGGGAGATGGAAGGAGCTGGACAGGCCTCGAACAGGTTGCCCTGTTACTGAGCAGCTCTGTGGCATGCACACCAGCGTGAGCCACGTAAACCTAAATCTCAGTGACAGCACTGTGGAAAGGCCATACAGGTACCAGTAAAATTGATTTAAGCATATCCAGTATCCATATCACATGTATTCCTTTAAATTATAGCATTTTCATATACTAGTTACTCCCACAAAGATAGTGATAAGGCTCTCAGTTCAAAAATCGTGGCTCTTTACTTAGCACGTTTACACTTTAAGGCAGATTATCTGCATGGAAAGCTTCCAGGACCATTTTCCTGCCCTGTTTTGGCAATCACAAAGGTCTGACAGCACTAACAGGACATCACACTAGACTTAAAAAAGAGTTTCTCCAATCTGAAGCTAGATTAATATTTTAAAACAGACACCAGGCTGTAATCTCACAGTCTGAGAAACAGGCCATGCCATCCCGTCGGGCCACACACCCTGCCTCCAGCCTCCCCAGCAGATACCACAAACCCCCGGCATTTTCATTACCCACAGTAGTGACAAAGATCAGTCATGGTAACCATCCAAGTACCTCCTTTACTTATTTGATCTAAGAAGAGGAGACCCAGGAAAAACATAAAATTATCACAGTCCAGTCAAACCCATAGGAAATAGGTCTTTGGCCCACCAGGCACAGCAGCAGGGGAGGACACCAAAATTAGAGTGGAACAAACCTGGGCTCTTGGGATTCTTTAGACAACCTCTCTCTCACCCAATGGTAGTCACTTGTCTTCTTGTTTCTTAGTATTGAAGAAAGCTGCCATAATACACTGAGCTGAGTGCATCCTATTTCTGAAATTAATAACAGAACAGCAGCATAGAAAACTACACTTCCTGCAACATTTCCATGTCAAGTACTTGATTTTCCTTCTGTTCTTGATAGCTGCCTTCCTTGGTTTTATATGTGTCTCACTTTAACCTGTGTATCACCTCAGACAAGTTAGAGCTGTTTGGTAATGAAAAAAGTACTACTCCTTCTCACCTGAACTGAATGTGTACATAAGCAGTGTCCCAAAAGAGGGTGGTTTTCCTGGGTTAAGGGCCATTTTGTACCTTCCTGGCCAAAGTGAAATTGGTTACTGCCTCCCAAAGGAAGCTGACCTCATCTCATGTCAAAACCCTACCTGCCTTTCATCCCATGACCAAAAGGGCACCCAGAGTTTGGTTGCTCCTCTTATTTCAGTCACCATTCCCAAAGAGAGAGAGAAGCTTGCATTTCTCAGCTCACACAAAGGAGACAGCCCTAACCAAACCCAGCCTAAATGCAGGATGACCTGGATCCAGATGCCCTAAATCCAGGTTCTTGCTTCTGTTTTGCTTCCCTACCATCACCAGTAACACCCCTTCTGCAATGCAGTGGGGACCATCCAGGGACTTAAACTGGGAGAAAAGTCTGACAGGGTTCCTTGGTACAGTCTGGCTGATGTGTTCAATATTTTTCAAGTGGATGCTACAGCACTGTTGGATCAAGTGAGAGGCTGGTTGCATTGCAGATTTACATCAGTTTATGCTGCTTCAGAGTGCTTAGCTGCCAGATCAGGTTTAACAAAAGACCAACCAATTAATTTGATCAGGAAGCAAGGGATCTGCAAAAGATAAGCCAACAAAATGAATTATTCTTCAATTCCCCAAACTACCTAAGGCTTCGGTTCCTTAAGTAGTTTGGGAAGCTGGCACTTTCATCCTTCCACTCTGACACTATTTTGGAGTTTTTTGAGACACCTTTCCTGCTTCTGTTGCCAAAGGCAGATCGCAGAAAAGTTCTGTATCTAAGCTGGTTTCTATTTACCTCTGTACAAAGGTTTACCTCTTTACAAAGCTTTCCTTCTTGTTCACTGAAATTGGTACTT